TTCTTATTTGTATCAATCATTGCACGAGTTAGTTATACAACGAAATTTTAGACTTTTGAAAATTTCGATAATTATGGATATTTGAGAAATTAGAAAAGCAGAAATAGTTTTTGGAACTGTCGATGTTTTCTTTTTTCAGAAATCTTAAAAATTGTCGTTGAAAGACATTGAGATTGGCAACTATTTTATGATTCATCATTGTTAATTTAATTAAAATGTTAGATATCACTCAATGAATTTTAACTATATTGAGTTGTACGACTAGAAATGAGTGAAATCAGGATTAATCATACATCTGTCTTGCAATATGTTTTTCAATACTTTTTCTAGTGCAAAATATTGTCAAGCAATTATCATGAAAGAGTACATATATTTTTTTTTATTTACTTAACATATGAATATGTTTTCAAGTACAAAAAAGTACGTACATGTACGTAGTCGTATGACGAAAAAAATTATTGAGAAGAGGTTGAAAAGAAACTATTTTTATATTTGAAAGATTGCATATTCAATTTTTTCAAGTGTAAACATACAAATATTATTGTTTTTTTTTTTTTCAAAAGAACGATTTTTACTGAGAACAAATGAAAATTTTGCTCAAAGTGGGCGATAGGTGTTCGCTATCGCTAAACCCTTGAAAGTACGTTCTTTACCCCTTGATAATAAACGACAAAAGGTTACTCCATCATTAGATTGTCGTTTCCTTTGAAAAATTAATAGATGATTAGAAATCATCAAATTATTTGGTACTAATACTTGACGCAAATAATTGATCAAGATAAAAAATGATTTTTTTACGCTAAGAAGAGAGGTAAAAGTCGAGAAAAACTTATTTTTGTGTTGTTATTTTTGTTTACATTAGCTTAGTGAATTTAATAAAAATAAATATAATTCATTTATGTTTCGTACGAATCACCTAGTATGCTCTGTAATAAATTCAATGACAAATAGAAAACCATTTCAAGAAGAAAAGTATGTACTCAGCATACAATAAATTGTGATGTTTCTTCTGAGAATATCTATTTAAAGATACATTGATACTTCTTAATATAGCTTTGTTATAAACATAAGCATAATAATTTTGTAAATAAGCAATTATTTCGAAAAACAAAACATATTATGACTATTGAACATAAAAACTAAGCGAAGCATTTCATTAATTCCATTTATCGTTACATGAATCTTTTTTGTGTAAGAAAATGAAGTAATAATCAACATAATTAATTTTTATTTTTAGAATCTATGAAACGTAAGTTTATGATGTGCCGGTCATAGATGGATAATCTTTTGCTGGATATCATGAATCTGAACCTATTGGAGGTTAATCGAAATTCTCAAGTTCAATTTTTTCAGTCCAGAAGGGTTTATGAGGAAATTATCGGAGACGATACTTTGCGTTTAATATGATACCTCAGTCTTTACGAAGAGCTTGTCGAGACTAGAAGAAACTTAAAAGAGTTCTTTCACATACGTTGCCCCATTTGTATTTTGGCGTTACACCAGCTTTGTTATCTTTAGTGCGGTATTTAAAAAAAAATGGACAAATGAATTTTGGTTTAATACTTTGTACACAAATAGTTCTTGATGTCATTAGGATTATCTACAAATTTCAATCAAAACGAGAAGAGACCACTCTTTTAGTTGAAACTTTTAGAAGATTGTTACGCCTTCCAGAGCTATTTTTGAACAAAGGTTTAATTCGAAATTTATTTGTCCAATTTTTGTTTTATAAATGCCGTGGCAAAGGTAAAAAATTCATTGTGACGACTAAACTTCAAAAGACGACGCATGGAGAAGAGCTTCTCTAGATTTTATTTTAGTCTGAATAGGTTCAATGTAATGACTAGGATTTCATGTAGATTGTGAAGTATCTATCAACTCGTATGGTTCGCTTGTTCGTTTTCATAGCTAAGTCATGTTTTATAAAATTTAGCTATTTTCTTGAAATCAGCCTCCATCTATCGAAAAAGTGGAGAAGAATAAAGATCACTGTCGTTTTATCATATGTTCATTGTTATTCTATGCATACATGTCTAAACCCGTGCAACGCTCTATCTAAGACTGTTAATGGCCGTCACACCATGGCAATTCTATTTTGAAATTTTCTTATGTAAAAGCAAGCGAATAAAATAAAACATACCCAATTCGAGCTCTAAATAAAAAGAAGATAAAAGAATAAAATTAATAAATATTTTATTTTCTCTCTTTTTTACCGCATCATCATTTGCGATTGCCATTTATCACCACGAGACACTGCACGAAGACCTAATGTTAAAGCAGCTACTGTCGTTAATAATCCAATACTATAGAATAATTCAAGGAAGTTGTTTTTTTTTTGTTTAAAAAGTTCAAATATCGACTAACGGTATAAGTGGATTTTGTTTAGCTTTTTCACTTGCTTTTTGTGCAAATGTGATTTCTTTATAACGTTCAAATTCACGTTGTTTTTCTGGTGATTCATTCATTGGTATGTAACCATCTGATTTTAATTTTAACATCGCAGCGTTTGACAATGACTTTGAAGTTTTTGTTGTTTCATTTTTACTTACAGGCAATTGTCCAGCATTTTGTTTTGCTTTATAATATTCAAGATCTTCACCATCATTATTCTTACTCATGCTTTCTTTGACTCCTTTGATATCTAGAGAATTTCAATTAAAACTATATATATTTATAGCTAATCAGACACATATGTATTACACTCGTGTGTATATAATATTAAATTGATTTTTCTTATTCTTTCTCGTCTTTTATACAACCAAAACATAAAATTGAATAGCTGCTGAATATAATTTTTTTTTTAATATACAAGTGAAATGAATATATTGAAGCCAAAGAAAAAAAAAACAAAAGTAAACAAACGTGACACACAAGAAAGTGAAATTCTCAGATATAGGAATTGACCAAGCACAAGGTTCTACTGTTACCAAATATAGTGATAAACAAGAGAAAAAAACAAAACGAAATAAACCAACAGATGAAAAAGAATATTATTGTGAAAAAGCCCAGCAAATAAACATAGAAATTTTCGTATTTAGTTTCTATATGGATGATGTCGGACTTGTGGTAATACACTTGGACGTTGCACAAGTTGGGCAGGCTGTTGAGCCACAACACCGGCACCTGCTGTCGTTTGTTGTTGAGTAGTAACATTTGCATTGGATGTGGCACTAAGCATTTGATATGCTGCAGCTGTTGGCTGACCAGTTGCAGCGGCTATCTGATAAGCTATTTGTTGTTGTTGAGATTGAGATGAATGTTGTTGATTTTGTTGAGTAGAACCATTATGTAATGCAGGACCTGCAGAATACATAGCTGGAGCTCCAGTTGTAGTTGTTGTTGCTGTTGGAGCTGCTTGAGCAAGTACATAATTTTGACCACCTGCTTGATATATTGTTTGACCACCGGGTGTTGCATAATACATTTGTTGCGGAATACCTTGTTGAGTTCCATATTGCATCTAATGAAAAGAACAAAAGAAATAAAATTAATCATTGACTTTAGTGTTTTTTTGTTCGCTTGATAATGATTTTAATTTATTACTTGTGGAATTAAGTTAAGTTGTTGTTGCTGTTGTTGCTGCTGCTGTTGCTGCTGTACAAATGCTGCAGCAGCTGCAGCTTGTTGTTGTGCTTGTACTTGTGCAGTAAGTTGAGCTTGTGCTTGAGCTATTGCTGCATAATAAACATTTGTATTATGAGAACTATTGGTCGGTTGTTGTTGCTGTTGTTGTTGATGTTGTGTATATTGAGAATGTTGATATTGCTGTTGTTGTTGAAGAGCAGCAGCTGTTGCTGATGCAGCACTTTGTTTTTGTGGTGATATTAGAGTAGATGTTGATTGTGGTTGACCTGCTCCTGCTGAAGCTACATTTGATGATGAAACAATCGAAGCAGAATTTGATGAAGAACCACTTGTATTATTAGTAGTATTAGCTGGTTGTGGTGCACCGATATATTGAGTTTGTGGTTGAGTTGTATAAGCTGAAAAGAAGAATATTATTGAATATTTTAAATGAATTTTTATCCGAATAAGTATACCAACCTTGTGAACCAGCTGATGTTGTTGCTTGCATAATTGGGCTTGTTGATAATTGTTGTTGTTGTTGTAAATAATTAGTTGATAATTGATAATATTGTGTTGGAGCTGCTTGTGTAGTTTGTTGTCCAGCATATTGATAAACAATTTGTTGTGGTTGCCCACCAACCATAGCTACCGGAAGACGTGTCGTAGCTGCTGTAGGTTGACCAGCTGCATTAAAAGAAATATACTGTTGTTGTGCAAGTGGTGCTTGTGTTTGCTGTTGCATTGCTGCAGCTGATGCTGCTGTTTGATGAGCAAGTAAAGCATAGCCACCAT